AAAAAAATAAAGGGTATGGTCATATTCCATTTTTACGAGCTTTTCAATGAGCCCATACACGACATAGGCTTGCATTAAAAAAAAAGTTGGGGAGGGTTGCAGCTACGGGGTTGAAAAAAAATATATCATTTTATTGCCAAAAAATGCCTACAACGTGAAATCAACTGACGTGTTTCAGCGTTTTTTCCTAAAATACTGGTTAAAAAAGATATTGATTTTATTCCGGACTTTTGCGCATCCTTGTATACATATGTTATAACTATAAGAATATCAAGTAAAATGAAACCTATTCCCTTAATTTATACGCCATTGTAACCTTGAGACCACATCTGTCCCCTGTTCAATTTTGTGCGTAGTTAGGGTAGGTACGTACGTCGACATTTTGGTTCCAAAGTTACTGTCGTATTTGATGGCTATAATTATTGCATGAGAAATACCAAAGCTGCAGAACAACGTCGTCGAACTTTAGCAACATCTACATAATTGATATTTTATTTGATGAAAATATGACAGTTCCAACCATTCAACAAAAATTTTTTACAAATACTCACAACAAGGCTGGGTTCATTTCAATGTTGAAAGAAAAATTGACTGCTGAAAATATATTGGTAAAACGAGCTAATAATGATGCTGATGTATTGATAAAATTGAAACAGCAATAGAGCAATTCAATTTGACAAATACAACTATTGTTGTTGGTGAAGATGTAGACTTACTCGTATTATTCACTGCTCGAACTCCAACTGAAACTATTTTCTTTTCAAAACCAGGGAAAGCTCAACATCAATCGGAAATATATTCATCAAAAAGCTTATTTACTTTTGCAAAGTGTCAAAATCATGTACTATTTTTACACGCAATAACTGGCTGTGATACGACATCTGTATTTTACAGGAGGGGCAAAATAACAGTTTTCAAACTGTTTGAAAAGCAAAATGTTGTTCAATGTGCTGAAGTTTTCAAAAATAGTAATTCAACTCGACAAGAAATTATCACTAACGGCATTCGCTTTCTCCTTTCTATGTACGGAGCTCCTAAAAAAACTAGCTGTTTAGATAAGTATAGATATGCAGGTTTCGTTAAAAGTAAAAAACAAGTACAGTCACCTTGTCTTCCTTCAACCTCAGTTGCTGCTCATGAACACCTTTTTCGAGTATAGTACCAAATTCAAGTGTAGCTTGGTTATCAGCTAGACCCTACAGACTGGGGTTGGAAGTTGGTCAACAATTTATTACAAACCGGTCCATACTTTACTTCCACCTGCGCCGGAAAAACTGCTGAACACAATTTTTTGCAACTGCAAAAAGGGGGGCAGTGCTAAATGTGGTTGCAAAAAAGCCAGACTGTTTTGTTCTTTGGAATGTACACCTTGTCAAGGCCGGTCGTGCTCTCTAATATTGAATCACCGACAGTGGAGGATCCGTTGAATTCCAACGAGGCGACATGCGATACATCGCTATTAACGCATTTTACATGTACTCAGGATGAAGATGAAGAAGAACAAGAACAAGACAAACAAGATTGAGAAGAAGAACAAGAAGAAGAATTTGAAAGTTACGACTAGGTATGATGAAAAACTTACCGTTTTGCTGAAAATCGCGAAAAACTAATTTTTTTGACCTTAGACCTTGAATAAATTTTTTTCCATATAGGGGAAAGATGGACAACTTTCATATTTCATTTCAAATCATATTTTGGATAATCTTAATGATTTTCAGCTAGGTGGGAATCTAGGTTTCCAAATATGGTTGACATATGATATAAAAGGTCGCCTGTTGATCTTTGTTTCCAAAGTCATATTGATGATCGCTTAAGATGTTGAAGGATATGGTAGTTTACGACTTTTTCCATGATTTTTGATATCACTGAT